TAACTAGCAGAAGGTGCTCTTGTATAAAAAATCTTGGTGATGAAGAAAACTCTTTGAATACTTCTCTTTCTCTATCAATGAAGCTCTTAGGTTATTACTTCAAAGAGGAACAACAAGATATTATACTATTCTTTTCAAGCTACACTCTTTTTACTTGGTTAAGTTTTTTTTTTACTCTTTCTTATTCTTTTATTGGTTTTTCAAAAAAATTTAACAAAAAGTAGAAATTTGGCTTACCCTCTCTAAAAAATTGGTATTGTTTATTTTCCAAATTCAGATGGATTAGCAGAATGCAACCACATGTTTGTTTACAGACAAATATGATGCTTTTTTATGAGATTTAGTCTGAGAACTCTAATTATGGCAGCAGGTGGCTTAAAACATGAGTTCTCAGATAACGGCAACACTTGGCTTGAGATACAGATTAGAACAAGCAATGAAGCAATCCAGAGTTGGTGTAAGGTCAGAAAGTAAATTTAATGTGAAAGTGAAGCTTTACAAAAGATATATAAAAAAAATTGTATTTGGTATATAATTTTTATTAGCCATGCACAAATTATAATAGTGTCTTTAGGGGTTTAGATTTCTTTTTATGTTTTTTCTTTTTCACAATCAGTGTTTTTTTTTTTTTTCTGTTTTTTCTTTTTTTCTGATTGTTTTCGTAATTTTTTGTTAAAAAAATTTCTCCCTTTTGTCTCATGCCTCTTGAGAAGAAAGAAGAATTAGAAGGGAAAAAAGAGATTCTAACACAGTATGCAACAATAATCAAATGATTAAGAGAGGTATCCTTTGTCAATACAAAATCTGAAGCAAGTTTCAGATCCCATTGTGAGACTAATAGTTGTGAGTTTCTATTAGAATAGAGTGCCACACTATCCTAGGTTGTTATTTGTATAATAATCTTATAGTAGTTCATAAAATAAATAAAAGCAGAATTACTTAAAAAAAAAACTTCAAAATAGTATTAGATAAAGAAATTAAAGCCAAACAAAAGCAAAAAAAAACTAATATAATCAATATAGATAATTTATAAAATTTAGTTAAAAAAACAATCATTAAAACATCTAATAAACACTTGCCAAAAAAGAAAAAACTTTTAGTGCTAAAAAAATATAAAAAAAGTGAATAAAGCATTAAGAAAATAGAGATTTGCAAAAACCTTAAAATTTTAAACAAAAGCATGAGATCTAAAAAAGCTTAAAATAGATTGCCTAAAAATAATCAAAAAGAGAGAACTTGAAGACCTCTTACAAGCTATAGAGCTAGAAATGTCTCAAGAAACTAGCATTAAAGTATACTAGAACATGCTATTTGCCAAACTTAGTAGTATTCTAAAACAAAAGAAGAAAGAATAAGAAAATTTATTGAAACTAAATACAATATGATTATTAAGAACCAGAAAAGAATACTAGCAAGTTTACTAGATAGGCTATATAGAAAGATAATATAGACAAAATAGCAATTGAAAATGAAAAGAAAATATAAACCTAGTGAAATATTTAGAAGAAGTAAAAAACAAGGTTAGAAACCATTTCCAGAAACAATATACAAAAATCAAACAATATGTTAAGAAGGTAGAGAAGAATTTATATAGAAAAAGACAATATTCAAGTTCTGTAGCATGAGAACCTGCTTTAAGAAATTACTCTAGAGGAGTAGAATAGTACAATTAGCAAAGCAAAAATAGCTTAGCACCAAATTTTCAGGCATAAATCATCCAATTTTAAAACAAACAGAGATAAAAACAAGAAGAGCATTTGCAAAAATCGCAACTACATATATAAAGCAAGGCAAAATACCAAGAAAATAGAAAGCCAAAATGCTATACCCAATCTCTAAAAGTAAAGAATAAAACTATAATCTAAATAATATAAGGCCAATAATGCTGACCGAAGTGTTTAGAAAATGCACAGTATGAATATTCGACAGGATGATAGCAACGCACGTGGCCTTCGGCCACGTGCTTTTGCTATCATCCTACCGAATACCCATGTATCCGTCACATCATTCCAGATAACAAGAAATTATTAGTTCGAACTTGGACCTCTATAAGTGCATATTATGGGATTGATTGTATTAACTTCTATCCGTTACAATAACGTATAATATATACAGTATAATAAAAAGAAATAAAATATCGGGATGAAATGATTATACTTTTATATACAGATCCATACTGAAATCAAAATTCGTTGAATACCGTAAATTCTCGAAATAACGCCCAGGGGTATAATTACGAAATTTGGCCTAAATTAAGCTTAATTCGGGCCAAAACTCAAAATAACGCCCATGCCCGTTATTTTGAGAATTTACGGTAAATTACTTTGCAGAAACTTTGGCTTTGCTAAATATGTTTACCATATAGCTACAATATAGCTACAATATAATTACAGTATTACTGCAGTTATTGTATAATCCTTATTGTACTAATTCTGTAATCAAATGATGTCACCGAGTAATGTTTCCATGTTTCACTTTAACCTTCTATATTTGTACTATCATAGTCATGTTTTGTTGTTACCTTTAGTAGTTAGTGATAGGAATAACGATACTAAAAATAGGGATTTTTAATTGTTGCATTCAATAATTTAAAATTGTTTTAATAGTTTACGGCGTGCGACAATCGAATTTATAATTTTTTAGCATCTGTAGTCCCAACAATATTAGTAGTATTATAATAGGTATACTTGGTGTCGTAATTCATGTACAGTACAACCACGTATACTCTCATAATTTCGCGTGTACGCTGATTTTACAGCGTAAACGTTGTGATCTCCGCGTTGGCGCTAGAAAAATAATATGAACGTTAAAAATATAGCTTGGTCGTTCTAATTTAAAATTATATAAGTGTTTGCCCTCATCCTTGATTAAAGGAGGATATATGCACTCTGAATTCATCACCAAATAAAGATCACATTACTTTCTATAATAATAACCTAAATATATGAATTCCGTGTTAAATGCAGCTTAATCTGACGTCAACTATTGGGGCTAAACTCGGTATAACTGTAACAAGCTCTCCCTCACAATGATTATAATGCACACTTATAAAGCCACGACAAAATAGAGGGCGCATTTATGGAGAGTGCACTTATGGTGGATGTACTTATGGAAGGGTTGACTGTAGATGCTTGTGGATTCTCTTATTCTGTTGAATAAAATAGAAAGAACTCCACAAGGAAAGCAGTCTTGCAAGTAATAAACAATTTCATTTGTATAAAAGTATCTTTAAAAAAATATGACTTTATCTATTCGAAGTCCCTGTGCATACAAGTCTTTATAGGCCTTGATCCAATATCACATATCTCTTTCTTAAAGGCATTAATTAAACCCATAATAATAAATTCCTGCATCATCCATTGTTTTTTTTTCAATGCCTTTATTATTAAAACTAAACCTGTACACTTGATTAATATGGAAAAGACTGTTCTTGTCAATCAACGAACCTCACTTAAAAGTGTCACTCTAAAAGTGATTGAAGTTCTTCAACTCATGAAAGTGCTTGAAATTTTAATTTGCCAAAATCTAAGTATTTAGTTATTATTCGAACTGGAAAACTTAATTTTATTTCAATTTATATAATAAAATATGCACGGAATAAATATCGATAACACTGAATCAAATTCATTTTAAATTTTTGGATTTCCGATATTATCATCATTATTTATTGTCGAAATTAATATTGTTAATAATATTATGATAGAATATTATGCCTCTAATCAATAAGAGTTCGTATTGCTTGCAATTTAAAGAAAGTCGTCATCTCTGGTGTGAAAAATTATATGTTGGTTTCGCAAATGAGTATAAATGAGTATTAAGCTTACAGCTGTTCTCACATAATTTGGGACAAACTAAAAATTTGTCGTTTCCCGAAATCTCTTCGGTTTTGTCCTAAAGGTCACCTAACTCTTCGGAATCACATCATTATCTTCGGAACTTCAGTTCGGAGATATATTTTCTGGAGAGTTTGAAACGAGCAAATTTCAGTTTGTCCCATAATTTATGAGAGCAGTTGTAATGCGGGCCAAAATTCGAGCCTCGTTATTTCGCGCTTACACGGTCTGTTTATTTCACAAGATGCCAAATTGATGGTAGTAATAATAATTTTCCGGTTTAAGGTTTTATAATCAACATTAATGATAAATAATAAATAATGTATGCATCCAAAAATAAAAAACTCATGATCTTTATTATGATAGGTGCACATTTTCTGGATGTACAGAGAGGATTTACAGGATTTTATATATATTAACACAATATAATAGAATACAATCTTTTCACGTTGAATATTTGTGTTAAATTACTACATAATGTTTATTTTATTTTATATAAGTCCAACAGGTTAAAGGCACTAAATCAATATTGTGACGATAATTAGTATATTAACTATGCTAGTTAGTATATTAAAAAGTAGGCTATCATATTGAAAATCGCCGATGATGAAAAAAAAAAGAATAAAGTGACATAATTTACAATAAACGCATGCACTTACGTACGTATGTACATACATATCTGATATCTGATATGTCGTACCCTACATTCTGTGAAAAGTTTTCATTATAACGATACAATGCAGGTTTTATAATGGATTAAACCACGCAAAGATTTCGGCTTTTAATAAAATCAAATAATGAAAAAAAAGAAAAGTCAAACAAAAGAAAAATTTCTGCAAAAGTTGCAGAGAAAGTTTCAAGCTTATTTTTATTTACTATAACAGGAGAAAAAAATAAATATGCAGGCAATTATTATTTTTAAAACAAAAAAAAGCCGAGAAACGCATTTAATCTTTAACAAAAACAGTGTCCTCCAATAATTGGGGAATGTACACAACATCATATGTTGTGAAACAAAAATAAATTCGGTGCTTACTAACCTTTTCCGGTGATCATTCGATCATTGAGGTAAATTAAGGGTTTTGTAATTCTTCTATGCAGAAAAATTTGTTTAAATGTTTATCATCTCGAAGTTATTACAGTATTAAACTAATTAAATTAGAAAAAATGGTTCGTTATAATTATAATAGTAATAATAGAATGAATACTCAGGTTCAACCAGATAACTCATCGTCAAACCAGTATGAAGTTCCATTGTGCAGGGATCAAAAAACTCCGGTATGGTATTCGTTCGAGGGCTTTACAATACGTTTTAAAAAATAAAAATAAAAAAAACTATGATAACTCATAATTTTTTTTCATTATCCTGACTTAATCATAAAAGGTATTCATAAATGTATATGACATGGTAAGTATGCCTTTTGTAGGAGAATCGAATCGTTAATTTATTACTTACATTATATTTAATAAAAGCTACCAAAAGGAAGGATTGCAGATATTGGGTATATGTTTGGAATCGGTTCGTATTGTTTCATCGATTTTCTATCTTAAATATAATAAATCATTAAAGTTTTTTTTTTATGTCATTAATAGGGGTGTTTCACTCGGGAGTTGAAGTATATGATAAAGGTAAAAAATTATTACAGATCAATGTTTTTCTAATACGACAACATGGGCAAGCATGAATTTGTAAAAATCTTTCAATTAAGAATATAATTTTGGTGGACATGATTTTGATTCTACTGGTGTGTTTATTATGAAACCCAAGACTGGTCCGCCTAATGTGACATTCAAGTAATTATTGAAATTTTTATGAAATTATTCGAATATTTAATGTTTAATGTTTAATGTTAACTATTTAAATTATTAAATTAAAATTATTAAATTAGAGATTCAGTATTTATGGGATATACGTCATTGAGTAAAGAAGAAGTAAAGAACGCTATCGAAGAATTATCTAGAGAGTGGAGTGGAAATAGTTATAATTTGTTGGCAAGGTATAATATTACATAATAACTAATATTTAATGGTGATTAATTAAATTAATTAAATTATATTTTATATTAGGAATTGTAATCATTTTACTAGTGAGTTATGTTATAAATTGGTTGGAAAACCTGCACCAAGTAAGAATATATAAATATTATTCCTTTGTTGTATTGTAGTGTGTTTATTTAATCTTTTATTACCTTTATTTTTATTATTCTTTCACAGATTGGATAAATCGTGCCGCGAAATTAGGAACCCTCTTTCCATGTAGGTTTTATTTAAATAAGTATATATTTGTTGTGCCTCAATTTACATTCATTTCTCACTCTCAACTTTTCGATGGAACCCTCAATTAATGAATTATGATTAACACAACATCAGGCTTATTGAATAATTCTTGGTTTATGAATTCCTTAGATAGGCATTTTCTTAATAAAACTCATTCTCAAAGTTTTGTAGTCTCAAGAAATTGAAAATAAATGTAAATTGGGGTACAACTAATATTACAATATTACTTTGTATTTTTTGCTCAAGTTCATTTTTATCATTTATCATATATAAATTTAAGGCGTTGTTCCTAATGATTGGATCGAAGCACCAGAAGGGGGTGAAGGTAGTGTTTCCCAATTCTTCAATATGTCAATATCATTAAGGATTAAGGATTATATTAACCACAAAAATATATACATTTATGTATATTAATCTTTAACTTAATTAGCAAATGGGTTGATTGTCGCAACTAACGTCGTCATAACTGAAGAATCTTTGCAAGATTCTTCTTGAAATATAAATGATTCCTTAGATGTAAACTATTTGGTTGTGCTTTTTAGTCTTGTAATTTTTTTGTTTTTTATCATGATTAATTTACATATTAATATCATGCACTAATTATAGAATTTCTTTAAGTATCATTATTATGTTTAGTATAGATTTATCTGTTATATATCATTGTAGACTTTTTCGATCAAACATATTTTTTATCTAAATATAACGATATTTTCAATAAATTTTTTACAATCTTGGATGGATGTTCGCTAAAAGTTTACTTTTTAATGATTGTTTAATACGCAAATTAAATGATTTGCTAAAAAGAAAATTTTTCCTTTAATAATGAACTATATCGTGTAGTTTTAAATTTTTGTTTAAACCAAAATCCGTCGTTATTTATCGGAAGGATTTTTGGATTCTAGGTAAGGGTATTTTTTATTTTCAGAATGCACCGTGTACAGTATATGGTGCGAATAGCTTCAAAGACGTCCAGTTTATTAATGCATATTTTTTTTTTCATTGCATTTACTCAACTAGCAGAGTCACGTCACGCATGACGCTCGTTTGCGATTTGGGTATTTATCATATTTGTATGATAAAAGTATGAAGTAATAAAAGAGAATATGTAAGCGAGTAAGTATAATTTAGAGAGAATTAACTTTCATTTTTATTTTTTGACGAATCTGTTTTTGATCCGATTATATTGAGTGATCCTTCTTGCTCAACGAGAATAAAATTTGATTCTAATTAGGATGGAAATTATTTTTTAGATTATTATTTATTAGTTTGAATTTGATACGCAGAGGAATCTCCCTAAATTCGTGCATTTAAAGAGCAATTACATTTGTGGAGGTCAAATATATATTTGAGACAGAATTTGAATATAGAGAGTTGGTGCATTTAGAGACTTCAAATCTTAAAAGATCACTCAAAAAGTAGGCCGAGTCAAGATGATTTTTGTTATATAATAATAAAATGCTTTTAAAAAAAAAATCAATTCTTATAAATATTTTATAAGAATGTATGTGGTTTATTTACATGATCAAGTTAATTTTATGTGATATACTTTGTGATTTTTATGCTTTAACACTATAAACAATATAAAATATGAGAAGGCATTATATAATTATTGCTTTTATTTTTATGATTCCCCCAAAACGCGCGTTATAAGATATTTAGATAGTGTTAGATTTCGTTTTATTCATTAGATGAATGGATTGAAGATTTAGATTCATTAGCAGCGTAGCTCCATTCGATTTCAAATGATATGTGAAATTTTACTATTAGGACTAAATTCAAGCATGAATGACGCTCCTCTTTAAAACTTTGCTTAAAACCTTTAACACAACCACCATAAATATCGCGAATTGTAATAGACATTTCTGTACGACTTTCCTGAAGGGATTGTAACAACCTTATAGTTTTCATCAACGTTGGACATGTCAGAGTTAGATGAATAACAATGTTATTATCGCACCTTCTCATTTGTTTAGGATACTTTGTTGACCTGTTATGGGATTGTATAGTTTTTTAGACAATATAGAGTTTTGTCTTCCTCTGTTGTTGAACTTATAAGAGTTTGTACAGCGGGGCAGTGTGTAACCATAGAGGGAAAGCGTAGAGAAGGTCTTCCAGGGAACATGTGGAATCAGGAGAGGGTAAAATTGATATAGCTGACATTTGAAAGATAAGTAAGGCAAATTTAAATAACAAAATAGTTTAAGAATCCAAAGCATGTAAACTTACATATTCAATATCATCAGATACATTGGCTAGTGCGCTCTCTCGTTCTATTCTAGGTCTAAAATATCTTCCATTTATATATACGATTGAGTTTTTTTACATAAAACCAATAAAATCCATTAAACTTTTCCTATGATGGCTAATCTTCATAATTTACAGGTCACGCTGCCATTTGTATGATTTTAAGTTACTATATGTTCTAATAATTCATATAATATGTGTGATTTTATTTATCATTTTGAATCCAAAAAATGCCTCATAGGGCAATTTGTTGTGAGCTCGATGCTAACGCCTCACCTGTTCTCCTTGTACACACTTTGCTTCAAATTTTTGGTTTCCAACCTGAAAAATATGAAGAACAAGTGACTCGAACATAATACCTCTGCTACTAGAAGGATTATGGCTGAGCATTACTAATTAAGCTTAATTGATTATCGTTGAAAGAATTAATAATTTGATCTTTCCTATCCTATTATCATGACATTTTGCAGTGCTTCCACTTGTGATACTATTTCTGAATCATATTGAATTATTGCATAAATAAATGCTAAATAATTTTTTTATGTGCATATTTAATTTAATATAATATCTTGAAGCAACTGCGTCACCAAGCCATATTCTGTTGGTACTAGTAGATTTTGTTAAGGTAATGTTGTGACGAAGGTGACGTCAATTGATTTGACAGAAGACAAGTATATTGTGTTGGACGTTCTTGTTTTTATGTATGTAACACATGTAAATATGTAATATATCTTATTCGTGTAGAGTTGAAAATTTTTTTTTTGATAGATGGAAAATCGTCCATGATTTATAACAACTCATCAATCAAAATTTCATGATCTGCCTTTTTATAGGTTATTCAGTTTCCAGTTACGCAGCTGAAATATCTGAAACTTTATAATGACACACTTTAAACGTGATATTTTCGTGCAATGTTATTTTCTAGTAGCTTTTATTTGGTTTTTTTTTAACGAGTTAGATTTATTATGATCATGATCACGAATTGATCTACTTTATTTATTTTTGGAAATCTGAAATTCTATCTAGTCTTCACGACGAATGAATTTAAAATTTAAACTCAGTGTAATTTTGATCAATAAATATAATTTTTATTTCAATGAGAGCTTGATACGTATTAGTTAACTAACAGTTCAGACTTGAACCGAAAAAAAAAAACGCTCCTATGATAGGAAAAGATGTCAAAAAAAAAAAAACATTAGAACGCGACAAATAATAACATGAGATTGTTCCTATTGAAGGGCGAGATGATGACCATTTCGAGTCAGTCAATATATAAATACGCGACGCGTTGCTTTTATTTACTGGACGTGCATTCCAAATTTAAAAAGAATTAAATTTATTAGTATAGGGAACAACGAATCTTTATCTTAGTGTTGTTCCTGAACACGTCCATGGACATATACTTAAAGACAACTTTGTTTCACGTTCAAAACTTTTTAACACTTATAGCGATAATTTAAGTATCAATCAATCGTATTAGCTATTAACTCTCACAGCAAGCGTGTCATTACACGAAAATGTTTAATATGCTTATTTTTATTATTAACATTATCATTTTCGTCATTTTTTAGTTACACATTGTGTTACTGAATTATTACCTCATTCTCGAGTAACGTTTATTTTATTTTTTCATTAATAGCTCCCATTACCTATTTCTTGTAATTAGTGTATTTACATTTGCTTTTATTATCATTATTTGTAATTGAATCAATTTTTTATTAGATCAGATATACAACTAAAGATAATAGATTATATGATACATATCTATAAAAAGCATATTTGTATTATATATATTATGTAAAAGTTAATGTATTAGAACGTCATAAACTATCATCAAATCATAATAGCGCAAAAAATAAAATAAAATAAAAACATCTAAGAAAATACTTACAAATGAGAAATTCAACATAAACACGGGTGCCCTGTATAGCCATAGCCAATACAGGCACAAAACTTGTACAAATCGAAGACTCTTTTAACTATAAAGCCATGAATCCTGACAAACAGGAAGATTTTCTAATCAAGTTAATCTTAAAAAATTTAACCATACTATTTAATATATTAACATTTGTTATATTCCTCTTTACTTTAATTCTACTATAAATTTTAAAGAAAAAAACATACATCTTTAATTAACAGAGCAAATCACTAATATTATTAATATAATGGAAACGAACCAACGTATTTAATACGCAATTACTGAAAGCTTGTGAATTTAGTATTCCTGTATTTAATAAATAAATAAAAAATCTAATGTAAAGACCACCTTTTATTTAAATTTGTAATGGAATTTCTTTTAGAATACGATCCACGAAATTGGGGTGATTTTAGTAAAGCTGTCGCTTAGCGTTCCTGGTACAATTCCTAACATTGTAAAGCTTACCATTTATTTATTTACGTGTTTTTTTTTTGTTGTTATTTTCACAACCTATATTAATTATTAATGCCACTTAAAACTTCTGATCTAATCTAAATTCGTTATCCATTAAACTTATAGCGTATGAGTCCCTTGAATATTTAAAAAAAACTACCCACATAATGAAGAATGAAAAAAAAAATCGAATAAAAGCTAATAAAGAAACAAAGACATAAAATAATTTATGATCATTTTCTTGGTTTATTAACTTTATGGCACAGTTTAACTAAAATGATAATTATTGTGCTTGAGGTGGTGGTGGTTGATCAGGAAACGGAATTTGTGGTGGTCCCTGAAATTGAAATTGAAATTTAATTTAAAATTAGAAATACAAAAGTTCACTACTTATAATAGCTAAATTCATTCATTTACCTTAGTTAATAAATCCCAGTGCGTAATTTTTTGCTCTTTCATGCTTTCTTGAATTTTTTTCTCGTAATCATCTATCGCACGTTGTAATTCTGGACCTCTATCTTTTATAGATTTATAATGTTCCAGTAATTCACCATGAACCATCTGACGGTGAATTAATGCTTGTTGATATTGTGGCATTACTTGTTCATGCTATTAACAAAATCATATAACATCATCTTAATAAGATTGTTGCGAAGAAAATCGTTAAACAAGAAAAGTCAAATTCAGAGGAAAGAATAAGGATATACCACTTGACTACCACCAATCATTGAAACAAATCTAGCCAAACCTTCTTTTTTTGGTTTAGCTTTTTCCCATTCTTGATGATGCTTGTTTTTCCATTGCTCTTCCCATTCCGGATAAAATTTTGTAACGTTCTTTCCTTGAAATTCTTTAACTACTGGACGAATATCTTGAACTTCAGATAACAATAAAGAAATACCTGCAATCCCAAAAACCACCATTTTAATTGTGAATAAAGAAAAAAAACATAAGTTTAAAAATAACGCAAAACTTACCTTCGAGAAATGTAATGATATCAACTAGATAAGTATCATTAGGATCCCCTGTCCATGGAGGAACAGTGATCACATTTTCAGGTTGCATAGAATAAGCAACAGGATTAGAATCCATAACTATTACTTTAGATAGGTCTCGATTTATTTTGGAAATATCCTATATTAATCATACAATACTAATTAAAACAACAATCGAAACAATCGATATTAAAAAAAAAATTAAAAATAAAAAACAAAAAACAAACCTTTATAACCTTTCCTTCTACATATCGCGTTGATTCTCTGAAAAGTCTAAATGGAACCATGCCAAGTGGATCGAGCTTTGCGAGTATTTGTTCTGCAACCTATAATTAGGCATCACAAATATAATTTTATCAATGTTATAAAGTCTATATAATAACATACAAGAGAAAAAATAAATCATCTTACATAAGAAGGCTGGGAAGTAAATATGACCACTTCAAAAAGATTTGAAGCAGCATATAAAAAATAATCAACACCCGGCCGTTTTGCTGTTCTCCATCCATTTTTTCTCTAAATAGATTATAACCAATTAGATTATCAATACCTGTATAATAATATTTTTGTACAATTCTAAACTTACATCCCAAGTAGAATAAATAAGAGTTTGGTCAAGATTGATCACTAGCGTTAATGGAGGAAGATTTGGTATTGTATCTCTATCTGGTAATAATTTATCTGATGAAGGTTCTGTAAAAAACTAGGGATTACATAAATGAAAAAAATTAAATCTAATTATAGAATATTAACGAATCTCAAAAATTTGATCTAAACTTACATGCGTAATATCATTTGTACGTGCCTGCAATCGCATATACCATGCTTGAAAAGCATTTAAATCTTTATACTAAATTATAATGCGTGATCATTATTAATAAATTACGTGAATTATCTTTGATTACAAAAAAATCATTCCACAAAATTAAACCTGATCTTCTCGATCATTTGTAAATGGCCTTCCTATAAAAATTTATTTAATAATCAATTATAAATGCTATCTTATCTTTAAATAATAATAATAATAATAATAATAATACAATTGAATTACCCAAGTAAATAGTAAATATTACACCAAATCCCGCACTTAAAATACCTAAACTTTTAAGAACTTTTTTTGTTTGAGGACTTAACGTATCAACATTAGAACTTTTTTCTTTTCCACGTGGTATTTTTTTTTTTTGAATTAATAAATTTTGATTTAAAGGTTCACTTGAAAATAATAATGATTTTGAAGAAAAATATCTATTAATAATTTGTTGTTTAGGTTTTATTTTTAATGATGAATTCTTCGTTATTACGATTAAATTGTTGTTTCTAACCCTAAATGAATTACAATATCCACATAATGTTTTAAGTGTATTAGGAGATCTTGGTAACACTAACAATTTATTAAAAATCATTGTCCTTAAAGACAAAAGGAATTTATAATTTATAAATTAGATTTTTTTTTAAAAAAAAAGCCACTCGTAATTTTATAGGAAGTTCGTACTCTAACTTGTTTGATGACCGTGTAACAATGATCGATCAAATATTGAATGGCCAATCATATCGCGAATTTTGATCAATCTAAATCTAATTTGACGAAATACAAATTTCGGGATAAAGCTAAGTCTTTTTTAACAAAAGATATGAACTTTCAGTCAATTTTCCAAACCTTTTGTGAAGATACAGTATTACTCTATGAACAATTTCAGACAATTCCACACATAATTAAGCCAAAAATTGTGTAAAGTGAAGCTCTGATATACTGAAAATTTAAAATAAATTACTTGTTTATTTCGTCAATGGACTTTCATAAATCCTTATTATTATGAGCAGGAAAACAGTGCACATACATACACAGTTTAGCTCCCCGACGCAGACATGAAATCGATATTCAATTACGTATCATCGTTATTTTAATGCGTGAATTTCCTAACAAAATTTTAACAATTTGGTTGTGTGTTTATAAAGATTTTTGCTTGAAATGACTATCACCGTTTATTGTAAAACAATATACACCAAACTACATATTCTGAACTAAAAGATAAAATTTTCATAAATACACAGAAATTTTTTACACCTTACATATGTAAACGTAATTCCGAATCTTTACACAAGATTTTCTCTATCTGTAATGAATCATCCAGGGCGGCCCTCAAAAGTTCGCTGCCGTAGATTATGGCACAATCACTAAGAAAATGATCTAATATGCAGCTAGAAGAGAGCCGCACTAACTAATCTTAAGTCACCGAACTTTTAGGGGCCGTCCTGGATGATTCATCTGGAATATTAGTTTAATTACAATATACGTAAAGTCAGTTCACTTATAGAATTCTACACTTTAATGAATCTGCTAATAAATTTTCCAAATTTTTTAGCCTTAAAAGATTTGATTTTTTTACGAAATTCTAATGCGTTGACATTATTTGGTTCAATCTCTAATGCCTTATTAAAATCTGCAATTGATTCTTCATACCTAGTGATGTGCCGCGTACAGTACTATACGTACTGTACGCTAAAATTTTTGCCGATCACTTTTTCCAGCCAATCAGATGCCAGAAAATAACTATACGTACAGTACGTACTGCACGTACTGTACGCTAAAATTTTTCAGGTATCATATAAATGGCACATCACTATTCATACCTATTCATCATGCGATAAGTTTTTCCACGATTGATTAATACAATTACATTATTGGGCTCAATTTCTAATGATTTATTTAAATCTGCAAGCGCTTCTTTATATCTGTTCATTTTGAGATAAGTTTCTCCACGGCTTCTTAATGCAAAAGCATTATTTGGTTCAATTTCTAGTAACTTACTTAAATCTGTAAGTGATTCTTCGTATCTACCCATAATGCAGTGAATTGCACCACGGCTTTTTAATGCAAATGCATCATTTGGTTCAATTTCCAATAATTTATTTAAATCTACAAGTAAACCCTCATATTTATGAATAATATCATAAGTTTTTCCGTTATTTTTTGATGCATGTGCCTCGTTTTGAAAAAATTTTAATGATTTATTTAAATCTATAAGTGATTTTTTATGTTTACTTAACATATGATATGTTGATCCGCGATAATTTAATGCAAATATATCATTTGGCTCAATTTCTAAAGATTTATTTAAATCTGCAAGTGATTCTTCATATCTATTCATCATTCGATAAGTAAAACCACGAATACTTAATGCAAATGCATTATTTGGTTCAATTTCTAATGCTTTATTTAAATCTATAAGTGATTCTTCATATCTGCTTATGCCGTAATAAACAGCTCCACGACTTCTTAATACAACTGCATCATTTGGTTCAATTTCTAATGCTTTATTTAAATCTACAAATGATTCTTTATACCTCCTCTATAAGTTGCTTCACGAATTCCTAATACGTTGGCATTATTTGGATCAATTTCTAATGATTTATTTAAATCTGTAAGTGATTCTTCATATCTCCTCATAATGCAATAAGTTTCTCCTCGACCTCTTAATGCAAATGCATTATTTGGTTCAATTTCTAATGATTTATTTAAATCTGCAAGTGACTCTTCGTATCTCCTCATCTATAACTATATAATAAAAAAATTTGTGTGTAATGTAAAAACTTCTATATATAAAAAATTTTATAATGCTAATAAAGTTTGTATAACAATAATGCATGACTTATTTTTTTATACTAACAAATCTAATTATTAAAAAAATTGTGTAATATTATTATTTTGAAAATTTTTATATATAAAAACCATATTTTGGTATTTTATGTAATGATAATGTTTAGACTACTAATATAAATAATTCACTTAAATTGTGTAACATTCAATCTGTTATTTTGATTTGTCAATAAATTCTTTAAATTTATACAAGAAGTTATTAAGTAAAGATATCTTCAAGGTCTAAGTAAAGTTATAGAGGGAGATATCTTGGGTTAAAGGTGCGAACATAAGGATTGGCAAAGCTACTGTTATATGAAGTATTGATTGTTAATCTTTAAGTTTAGATCTTTAACCCCATATATCTCAATAACTACTGATGATCTAACTACTATTTGACTTAGAATTATCTCCTTTACAACTTTAATTAGATCTTGAAGATATCTTTACTTAATAACTTCTTGTACAAACTTAAAGAAACTATAATTGGATTCACTTTAGGTTCAAAGTAGACCCACTTCAGGTTTAACATAACTTACTTTGGGTTCAAAGTATACAAAAAGCAATTTTTTGCAATTATCTTGGTAATTAACAATCTAATCTAGATGAACTTTTTTTAAATGAAAGCTCTCAGTAAGACATATCCAATAAAAAAGAGTTTATTTAATTCTAATTACTAGATTCTAAAATATTTAAGAAATAATAAATTTTTAATTTTAATAAATTAAATTAAAATTAAACAAAACCAAATTATAATCTATATTAGAGATAAAATTATTTAAATTTTTATTTTATTTTACCATATTTCTCCAAAAATAAGCACCTCCTTGGATCAATTTTTATAGCCAAAATTCTCATGATCTAGTTATTGGATCTATATAATTTTGGTACTATTCGAATCATTTTGACAAGTTGATTCAAATGGTACCAAAATTATGCAGATCCATTCACTAGATCACGAGAATTTTGGCTATAAAAATTGCTCCGAGGGGGGTGCTTATTTTCAGAGAAATATGGTATATTCAATCTTTTCTGTAAATTACACAGGTTTTTAATATTAAGGTGCTCACTTCATTTAGGCCTTTGGTATTTTATTAGTACAAGCAGTTTAGCTTGATTAGTAGACTAGCAATATATTAAATTAATATTATAAAAATACAACTAGCTACACATATATACTTTTGGTGTCTAATTTAAATAGTCCACCTGAAGGTTCTATGCTGCCATACCTGCAACCCAAATAGAAAGTTATGTATCATATGGGTTTATAGCAATATAAAAATAAAACTTAAAATTTAGTATATTTTCCCCATGCATTATTGCATGGGTTTTTAGCTAGTCTTATGATAAATAAAATCATGGTTTCTTAAAACAGATGCATCATTTGTAGTAATATGGGCCAGCCTGAAAAATATCAGCTGGGTATCTTCGGAATGTAGACAATAAGACAACATTGAATACGAATCTCTTATTAGGATTGGAAAAAACAGATCGAATCGAATTTAAATAATTCTCAATTGATATTTAAAGTGTGGAAAAGGTTGAGTATCTTTCAGAATTTTTCAAAATTATTCATAAAAAGGTTAGCCCTGATCGCCCGCCCCAAGACTGGTTAGCCCGGGCCAGCCCCAGCCCGAGGTTTTTTCATCGGCCCATATCACTAATCATTTGGTTCGATTTCTAATAATTTATTTAAATCTGCAAGTGACTCTTCGTATCTCCTCATCTTGCAATAAATAAAACCACGATTTCTTAAAACAGATGCATCATTTGGTTCGATTTCTAGTAACTTACTTAAATCTGTAAGCGATTCTTCGTATCTACCCATAATGCAGTGAATTGCACTATGACTTTTTAATGCACTTGCATCATTTGGTTTAATTTCTAGTAACTTACTTAAATCTGTAAGCGATTCTTCGTATCTATCCATAATACAGTGAATTGCACTACGACTTTCTAATGCACTTGCATCATTTGGTTCAATTTCTAATAACTTATTTAAATCTGCAATTGATTCTTCATATCTCCTCATCATGCGATAAGTTTCTCCACAACCATTTAATACAAATATATTATTTTGTTCGATTTATTGAAATCTGCAATTGATTCTTCATATTTCCTCATCATGCGATAAGTTTCTCCATAACCATTTAATGCAAATATATTATTTTGTTCAATTTCCAATGATTTATTGAAATCTGCAAGTGATTCTTCATATCTCCCCATCATGCGATAAGTTTCTCCATGACAATTTAATGCAAATGTATTATTTTGTTCAATTTCCAATGATTTATTGAAATCTGCAAGTGATTCTTCATATTTCTTTATAATGCGATAAGTTTCTCCTCGAACACTTAATGCAAATGCATTATTTGGTTCAATTTCTAATGATTTATTTAAATCTGCAAGTGACTCTTCGTATCTTCATCTTGCAATAAATAAAACCATGATTTCTTAAAACAGATGTATCATTTGGTTCGATTTCTAGTAACTTACTTAAATCTGTAAGCGATTCTTTGTATCTACCCATAATGCAGTGAATTGCACTACGACTTTTTAATGTAAATGCATTATTTGGTTCAATTTCTAATGATTTATTGAAATCTGCAAGTGATTCTTCATATCTCCTTATAATGCGATAGGTTTCTCCACGACTTCCTAATGCAAATACATTATTTGGTTCGATTTCTAATGATTTATTGAAATCTACAAGTGATTTTTCATATCTCCCCAACATGTGATAAGTTTCTCTGCGACTTCTTAATT